ATTAACGGTTAAAAAAAAATATATATATATATATATTTTTTTTAAGAAAGTGTAAATCATGAGCAAAGAATGAGCCTTAAAACCGAGCCTTGAGGCATCTCACCACTAAGTGGGGACAATGTTAGAAAGTATTTCTTTAAATGGACAAATCACTCATCTGAAGGGCATGACTGGAGTGATTTAAAAGCTGTACCTTTAATACTAATGGAAACTCTGAACTGAGTCTCTGGATACATCCTAATGAGAAAAAAAAGTTTTTACAGGTTTTCTCACTTTGTGGAAAATGACCCTGGCCCCCAGTTTCAGAGCTTATTAGAAACATGCTTTGCAGCAAAGAATGGACACCATTCTCTGGAGTCTTATATCTGCTGTTTTACTGTTTCCAATGACCTCTAAGAACAGCAGGTTATGTTGTTTCTTTTAATGCTGGTATTTTACGCAATCTTCGAATGAGTCAGTTTCTTTGTTATGACTGCCTGGCACATCCCTCCAGGTCTCCTCTATGTCTCAGCATAATATTTCAAAAGTGTATAGTCGTCCTCAGTGCATATGTTGAGATTGATTACATTTCAGGTGTGTCTGCAGTCTCCTGACCTTTCTCGTGTCCCAAAGCTCCTCAGATTTCCTCGGCTGTATTATTGTATCAGCGAGGTCAGCGAAACCTGACTTTGCTCATAATGTGCATAATGTAAAAATTATTACCTTCAGCCATTACATGACAGAAAATCAATGCAGCTTTATTGCTCTGCTTCTTGTGTTTGTCCAGTATGAATCTWACCTGGAGGGACATGCAGCACCTGGTGGTCAGAACGTCCCAGCCCAGGCACCTCATCGCCGGAGACTGGAAGACCAATGGTGTGGGTCGGAGAGGTAGAGACTTCTTATCTTTTTTTGGTTTAAATCAAGGCCATATGGCACCATAGGGCAGTGGTTCCCAACCCATTTTTAAAGCCTCCTTATCTTCTAAGCCAAGTTTACCCTCAGTCCCTTTCACCCCATGTTATGAATAACATAAGGACAGTTATTGTTGTTTATTGCCCACTGAAATGCACAGGGCAMCTGCTGCTGGTTAAACTATAACCAAGATACAATTACTGTATATTTAGTCTTTTCTTACAAACACAAATTTATAAACATACTGTACATTTGAACTCACACACAAATCACAACTAARGCTGTAAACCACGTTTAATTTACTTCTTTAAAACATTAGTCAATAACTAGCAAGAAAAATGTTAGCATTGCGCTAATTAGCTGCTAATACACGGTCTAAASTCCATAAAAAAACTGCTAGCGTAATGCTAATCTCACCATAGCACTCACAGAGGAAAAACACATTTTCTCGATATTTTCTYACACAAAAATTAATCGACACAGTTACACAAATGCATACTATTGCAATATCAAACCACGTTGGGCATTGTATTTAACTGAATATATAGAAGACTTCTTGAGGTTTTTTTTTAGATGTTTGCTTCTTTTATTGACGGAAAAGTCACTTCCAGTTTCGACAATGTTACTTCGGGACACTTCTACCAAAGACGCATTAAACCTTTATCCCTTCATCAAAATGACATTCAAATAATAATTTATATTTTCACAACCTCTGAGCAGAAAAAGCCCACCACCAACACCCATGTGCTCTAGGGCCCCCCCAGGTTGGAAGCCACTGCCACAGGGTACTCAAATTCTTAGTACAAAGTGATTTTCTAAAAATACAGTTTTATGTCGTATAAATATTGTTTCTTTACAAAAAAAAAGTATGTTTTGTTTGTCGTTACCCCTACAAGCTGGTTGACTTCATCCAGTAATTACCATCTGCAGAGCCAACACATTACAGTCTTTTTAGTCTATCTGAAATCAAATGACAGCTTTTTTCTGCAATATCGCACAGATCTGTGACAGCTGTGTCTCAGGAGGTAGAGCCAAGTTTGTCAGTTTCAATCTGCAGCCTCTCTTCATGCCAAAGTGTTCCTGTTCAACCCAGTACTTTATCTGGCAGCTCTGCAAAGATCGGTGCACAAATGGGAGAATGAGAAATTTGTTCTATCAGTTCTGTGGGAATTTAGAAATGGCTTCGAGTCACAGGAAGCACCCGGATCAACTTTCACGCAGACTTTTCTCCCCGTGGACTCTAAAGCCACATAAACACCTATAATGTTTTCTTGTTTACTTTGTGGAAAAAGTTCCCAAACAAGCTCGTGAAAACGTTGCGGCTTGTGTCAGACTGAGCAGCAGATTTATAGTTCAGCACTAACACTTTAAACTGCTTGTGCACTTACAACCTTTACAAAAGACTTTCTGTACGGTGTGCCAACAACACACTGTCTGCCCATATCTTTTAGAGCTCCAGAAGTTTGTTTACTTTGTCTATATTCTCCTGCCAGCAGCTGTCAATCAAACACGCCCATCAGCTAGCTGAGATGGGAAAGAACAGTTCAGATCTCTCCCTAAAGATCTCTCGTCTTAATCTTGATCCTTAAAAAAAGACATTAAATGTGTTTGATGGCAGCAGAAAATGTGAATTTAGTTTGATTTTAGGAAAAGCTCTGGTGAAAGCAGAGTGCCTTAAAAAAGATTTATGATTGAATGCTCAGGGTTAAAGCAGAGATTAGCTTCTAACAACATGCAGTTATCTCCTCATCACCTTATTTCCTTTTTTTTTTCTCCTCCTCAGTGAGTCATTCATATGGTTACGGTCTCCTGGATGCTGGGGCCATGGTGGTATTGGCACAGACCTGGACAACAGTGGGGCCGCAGCACCAGTGTGTTCACACGATGCTGACAGAATCCAGGTTAGAGGCACGTCTTAAATCTGTGTGTTTGTGTGTAAACAGCAGCGGCTTTTAGTTTTATTACCAGCACTGACCCGCTCCATCATCCCTCCCCCCCGCAGCCTGAAAGCATATCACAGCATCTTACTCGGGGCCGAGGAGGTCGCTCAGACACTTAGCGCAGCCCGATTGTTTTGTCTATTTCTGCAGCCACACAACATTAACCACCCTCCCTTCCACTTGTCAAAACCTGCAGAGACATCGGAAACAAGCTGGTGTTCAGCAAAAGCGTGGATGCCTGCTGGGGACGACCGGAGTACGTCCGATCTCTGGAGCACGTTCAGGCTCACCTCACTCTTTCCCACAGCCAGAGAGGAAAATTGGCCATTCATCTCGTCAGCCCACTGGGCACGCGTTCCACCCTGCTGTTCCCAAGGTACACAACAAAACAATCCAAGCCAGCAGCCAAGCCCTTAATGTAACCCCCCCCCCCCTTTTTGTTTATGGCTTTGAATCACAAACAAACAAACAAACAAAACGTGTGCTCTTCAATTCTATTTGTACACATCTTCCCCACAGGCATATTCTCTGAATAAAGCACATGAAGAAAACAACAGCTGTGCGTTTTCTCTTCTCTTTAGACCCAATGACTACTCCTCCGAGGGGTTCAACGACTGGGCCTTCATGACCACCCACTCGTGGGACGAGGACCCTCAGGGAGAGTGGACGCTAGAAGTAGAAAACGTGGCGGCGAACGAGCGGGACCACGGTAACCCTCACTCATCACCGTTAATCGTTCAGTCTGGGCAGATTACGTCGAAACCACACTCGTGGCACTAATAACTGCCCTCTCGCTGAGTCTCTCTGCGTACTTTCACGCTTCGCTGGCTCGCCTCTTTTCAGTTCCTCTCTCATTCCTCCTCTAATGACACCGTTTGTAATACTTTCGCTACCCAGGGGAGAAGCTTCTCCAGGCACAACCAGATTAACAGTTGGCTGCCGCCGCAAGAAAAAAATACCTACCGACCTTTTCAGTCGTGAAATTTAAAGTATGTCGTTGTTTTTTCTTTCCGCCCTCCCTCTCCATTTGTGCTGCACTTTAGCTCAAATGAAAAAAAAATGGTCACAAAGAGTTTCAGTCTCTGAGTTTATTCTGTGAATTTGTTTAGAGATGCAGAAAGAAGTGAGATGAGAGAATTGTTTTTCCTCTGACGTCCTTCAAGGTTATGCTCACATCTCATGTTTCCCCCTCCCTCCCTCCCTCACTGACTTCTTTTGTGTCGGTCCCAGGTGTGTTGAGTCAGTTCACCCTCACCCTGTGGGGCACCGGACCGAGCGTCGTCAACCCGTCCTCGCCTGACTTCCCTCGACCTTCCAACAACAGCTGCAAGACGTTCGACGCGCAGCAGATCTGTATCGGTGAGGTCGTGTTTAATAATTCGGGGGGGGGGGGGGGGTTTTTTGTTTTGTTTTGTTTTCGCACATCAGCCGCCGTTACAAACCACACTTCAGGTCAGCCCGTGTTGGCTGTTGTGAAAAGCACAACGTGAACGCTGATGACTTATCCACAAGCCTCTTGCGCATATGTTTGCACGCACACAATAAATTAGCAGGGTAACGTGTCATCTGGGAGTGTGTGGTGTGTTGGGAGCAGCAGACACATTTAAAACTGCAACAGTGCAAGAGGTGCACGTTGTCGACAGCCTCCACGTAGAACCGGATGAGGTCGGACACATCTCACTCCACCAGTCTTCATCATTCAGATTAAATCTGCATTACAGTATTTACTGCAAATCCTGTTATTTACACATCTCTAGTTTAATAAGGACTTCCCAGAAATGATTTCCCAGCACTGCAAAAAAAAAAAGCTAGGTAAATAAAAAAAAAACTAGTGAAATGCCAGTGAAGAAAGATAATTACTCTTGGGCAGATTTGTTGAAATGAGAAAAATACCCAGCCGTTACAAAACATTGAAATCTACTTAAACATTTATAAACTATTAATAACTTGTATTACATTAAAGCAAAACCAAAAGTTGTTTGTTTTTTCTTCCCCGTTGTTATTGTTTTTTTATGTTTGAGTGAAATGATGCTAAACCCAGAGGTAATAAGTTATTGAGGTGATCTGCACTCAGAGAGGAATCTCAGCTGGAGTGATTTGGGAGCACTTTGCAGTTTCCACCAACCAAGGACAGTTCAATATCCAAATGATGGCTCTGAATCAGAGAGAGCAGCTAATAAAATCCTTTCTTAAATAAACTACAATAGCAGATCTTTTATTCTAAAATGAGGCGTAATTGTTGTCAAAAGAAACCCCCCCAACTGGAAAAGAAACGTTAAGAAACAACTTGTATCTAACTGGTGCAAGTGTTTTGGTTGCATTAATTCTTTGTTTCCCCATTTTAACCAAAAAATAATTACTGCACATCTCTATTATACATGTTGCCTTGAATGTCCTCTGCAATAAATATGAAGCATGTAAGTCTGGTAGGTTTTAGAGATTCTTCCTCACAAATACACGAGGGACAGACTTCTGATTATCAGCACTGTGAAAGAGACTCTTTGTTTCTGGGTGCAGTGAAAGCACACATTATGTGTTAGCCAGTTGTTTGAAGTTGAGCTTTAATTAGCTGGAGGTTTTGAACAGACCTTTTAGCAGATGGAGCTGTTGTACCTCATCTTGCTTAGACACCGCAGCTGATAGACGCTCAAGGCGGTTTGAGCGTCCATCATGCTGTCTGATCAGTTTCATTAAGAGAACGTAGCTTTAATGAAAAAATGGAGATTGTAGCTAAAATAAATAAGTTTTGGTAGGAGGGAGTTGAGTGTGTTTTGTGTTTTATCTCCTCTCCCCTCAGAGTGCAGCCCTGGCTTCTCCCTTTTCCTCCAGGGTTGTGTGAAGTTGTGTCCTCCGGGTTTCACGTCAGGACAGCAGCTCCTCAACCTGTCTCTGGAGAACTGGGTGGACCTGTCCTCCGTGCAGGCCTGCCTGCCCTGCAGCCCCGCCTGCCTCACCTGCTCCGGCACGGGCCCTACAGACTGCCTGTCCTGCCCGCCTCACAGCCACCTGGTCCTCACTTCCTGCCTGCACCAGAACCAGGTCCAGCGCAAGTCCCCCGCCACCGTCGGACCACGGGGCCAAGAAGCCGAGCAGGAGGACAAAAGCTCGGCGGCGGCGGCGGATGACAGCAGCGGAGCAGCTGAGGAGATTCCAGGGCTCGATGTAGCCCCACCCACTCAGCTGCTCGTCATCGTGGTGGTTCTCAGCTGTGCCTTCATCCTGGCCGCCTTCGTCGGGGTCTTCTTCTTGCTGCAGTTGCGCTCAGGCCCCGCCTCCGTGGCCTGGAGGACCAAACTGCGGTCTGTGCTTTCAGAGACGAGAGGGACGCGGGTGGGCTTTGGTTCGAGCTTCGACCGGAGACGGGAGAGGAAGGCTCGAATCTGCTACAAGGGGATCCCCACTGTGTGGGCAGACGAGGACATGATCGTCCACGAGTCTGAATCAGACAGCGAAGACGTGGACGGTCACAGCGAGAGGACAGCGTTTATCAAAACACAGAGCTCGATTTAGCTGAAGCTGCTTCAGCTGCTGTGGGGTGTGACATCAGAGCTGATCCACTGAACACAGGCCTTACTGTCACATCAGCACACCATCCAAAATCAAGCTTCACGTATTTATTTACAAAGTTTTCATTTATCTGTTTATCTTGGATGTATTTATAGTTTCTGTCTCACCAATATGTGGTGTCATGCAACTATTTTCCTCATTTTGAGCCAATTTCTACTCACTCTTCTTGAAAAACTGACCCTCTAATTTAAAACCACACGTTAAAGAGTTCCAGCATTTCAACTCTACAAATAATAAACTGTTTAGTTCCCCTAATGTAAATTTAAAAGAACATGCCCACAAACCCTAAACTACATATCGTCACCTTCCCGAAATAACCTCCTACTGTATGTCATTTTCAAATCAACTTTGTTGCATAAATTATGTCCTCGTGATGTTGACCAGTGCTGGTAAAACTATGGGATAAATCTTGTGCCAACAGGAATTGAATTTGAATTGCTCAGATTGAATCTCAATGTGCATAATTTCAAATTGAATGCAGTGGTTTGAAAATAACTTTCACTACATTGAAACTGAATTTAAAGTTTTGAATTTGAATTAATTTGCTTTGAAATTGTATTTTGGTCTATTAAAAATCAAGTTTGTCTACTTTCAATTTTAGTTCCAAAATTCAGATTCTTGTGTCACATCCTGGTCCTTGAGAAAGCCAGCCAGAGTAATCAAACACAGATCCACAGATTTATGTTTCACTTTGGTGAAGTTTCCCTTCTGTTTGTAACAGAGTTGATGCAATCCACTGTAAAAGTGACAAAAAACTGGCAGTTATTTTATTGCAGTGATTAATTTTACCTATAGAAAAGTTTACATTTACATCCTGTCATGGATCAGTCAGCAGCAGCATCTGATCAATTTGTGATCCATGATGTGATGTAAATGTAACATTTTCTACATAAAAGGTAAAATTAATCACTGCAATAAAATAAATTTGTCTGTTTTTTGTCACTTTTACAGTGGATTGAATCAACTCTGTTACAAACAGAAGGGAAACTTCACCAAAGTGAAACATAAATCTGTGGATCTGTGTTTGATTACTCTGCCTGGCTTTCTCAAGGACCAGGATGTGACACAAACATCTGAATTATGGAACTGAAAGTGAAAGTAGTCAAACTGAATTTTTTATAAACCAAAATACAGTTTCAAAGCAAATTAATTCAAATTCAAAACTTTAAATTCAGTTTCAAATTATTAAATTCAGTTTCGTTTTAGTAAAATTCATTTTCAAACCAATGCATTCAATTTGAAATTATCCATATTCAGATTCAATCTGAGCAATTCAAATTCAATTCCTGCTGACAAGATTTATCCCATATTAAAACTGCCTGTATTCTTAGTTGGTCAAATCATTTGATTCTACCCCTTAAGATAATGGCCGAAGGATCAAGTGTGACTGAAGCTGAGCTATGATTTATGTTTCCTGGAAAAACTTGAAAAAATGTTTTATGCGATTATTTTAGGAAGGTGTTGATATTTACAGTACAGCTTTTTTTAAAAATCTTTGTTTCAAATGTAAAAAATAATCCTGTTAGCATCGTTTGGATCAGTTAGCCCTTTCATAACGGGTCTCCAAAGTTACAGATTTAAAAAAATGATATTTTTTTTCACCGCAGCCTGAGAGGCAAGCTTGGGGTTCTCCAGCAAAGTGAGGTTGCTGTGGGAAAAATAGCTGAAGCTTTTAAAGCATTCAGCTCATTACCTGATCAAAACACAGATCTGATTTGGTCACGAATACAAACTGAGCTTTGATCATTTGGCTGTTATGTTTCCAGTTCGCTGAGTTCCAGCACTGGGGTGATGAGGTTGCTGCTTTTATTAGCTGGAAAAATTTAAATTGAAGATTTCTGCGGCACAGTGGGATACCATAGTGGAAGAGAGAGAGAAAAATAAAACAACCCGCAGGCTGTTTGAGCAGGAAACTGTGGAGGATGTTCTGTTTTCAGTCAAGTCGCAGTGGGAAGACATATCTGATAAATCACTCAGAAAAGCTCCCTGACTTGTAGTACACTAGTGCTGTTTTTAATGATATTATAAAAGCACTTAGCCCAAAGCTGCTCGGCTGACCTTTGGCTACATTGTCCCAATCAGTTGCTTCTTGTAAGAAATATGATAGTTTTCTGCTCATTTTGCTCAACTGAGCAAGCTGTATATTGATTTTGGAGCTTCTTCGCCAGAACATTTTCATCAAGGTGAAGTTCCATCCCTTCCTATTGTCAGCATCACAGAAAAAAAATAGACACACACATTTCCCATCTGTGTGGACTCCCCCCTACACACGCTGAATCGAAGCCTTCGGATCGACAGGCCACAAAAATAATTATAGCACTTTAAAAAAAAGGGGGGGGGGGGGGAAACAAGCAAAAAGATCTATTACATTTTCTATGTTTGTTTTATAGCTCCTTTTTTAATTTAACTGATAACAGCTCGAGATATTGTGAACAGTTTTATGCTGGAATAAAAAAAGATTTTGACTGTTGCATAACTGGGACTGTCTTTGTCTCCTTTTTTTTTACTGCCAGGTGTTTAAAGTTTTAAATTCAGCCCCGAAAACACAAGCACCACCCAGCAGAGCAGATGGTTCATCACTTCTTCATGGCCGTACATCACTGCTGCAGACGCGTTTGTTTGAGCGTCGGTGCCAGCAGCCTTCTGTCTGTCTGCTCCCTGTTATCCAGTTGCAGCGCAGGATGCTGCCAAATCACATTCAAGAAACMGTTTTCAAGAGGGGGCTCCTTAAAAAAACGCTCCTGAAATTGGAAACGGTTGATCAGCGGCGTTTTTGTTTTTGTTTTTTTTTTCTGGAAAAAAGTTTTTGGTTTGCTGGGTTCGTGGGTAAAGGTGTATTCATCCTGTGCTTCATAATTAGACCTGCTGGGAAAACAAGCGGCACACTGAAGTGCCCCTCGGATGCGTCTCATTTCACATTTTATATATATGCTGCATGTGTGGAAACCCCTCACCTCCCTATTCACACCCTCGTTATGTGTTTCTACAAGCTGTGCATTAGTTCAGTTTGGCATTAGCTTGGAATAATTACACATGTACTGTCTAGTAACAGACTTGGCAACAAGAGGTATGACTAATTAAAACACTAATGATATGCTTTGCAATGCCAGAGTTTTAAAATGAGATTTTCTTAAAGGGGGTGTTTARGTATTTTCATCAAATTAGACTTTGCATCATAGTTAAGCGACTTTAAATTGGCCTCCGTCTCTTTAAGAACCTCCTGCTGTTTCAGACACTCCCACTTCAGCACGTCTTCACAACAGTGCTTCAGGGGAGGGGTGCTCTGCTGCAGACTGAATTCCAGGGAGGAGCTTTGTGTAAATAGGCGGGSCTTTGTACCAGCAAGTGTTTCGGCAGCTCCACATGGCTACCAAAAGAGATTCAAGGATTTCTCAAACATGCATGACTGAGTCAAAGCAACACTCTGGGTATGTTTTTGATGAGGGGAATGACATTATAGTATTATATAAAGCTCAAAAAAGTTGATTTTGTATATTACCCACTTAAAACTCGCTTTATGTGTGATGTTTCAAGCTCCCTTAAAACCTAAAGTATTTGTTGCTCAGCTACACTAAATTTGAACAGACCATCCAGACTATAGGGCTGGCCAAAAGCTTACCGTGTGAAATTGTTAAGAAAAACGTATTTGCCGCTGCAATTCTTGCCACGCGAAAACATATTTATCAAGGCACACGTGAGCTCATGACATGTTGTGTTAAAGATCTGCTGCCACTCCACATTATGGAAAGGTAGATTTCAATTCACAGCTTACTAGTTTAACCTGTTAAAAAGAAGCTAGTTAGACTGATGATTTGAAAGTATAATTTTAGAACAGAGTAACTGATTTAGAGTAAACATAAAGCACAATTATCAAAGTAACCATTATCTAAAAGCTACAATCAATTGTGATGATTTTTTTTGCTAATATCACCGCACAATTGGCTGAGTTATAACCATTTCTGTGTTTGCCAAGGACTGTAAGCAAAACAATGTCATTTCTAGATATCTATCCATTGATCACCTTCTGGAGGTTTCATTAAATTTCACTGAGGGGTCCATGAGATTTTTTGCCGTTTGTGGTGCGCAATAAGTAATRAAAAGCCCGTTTGCTGTTTTCACATTTAGCTGAAGTGAACGCTCATGTCTGTCCTTTTCCCCTCTCAACAAACTCACAGAAAAAGCAGGGAAACAATCCTGCACCATCAACATCRGAGCCTCCTCAGTGGGCTCCTCCAGACAAACCCACCACACATCTTTCTGCTTTCATTAARGGAAGGGGAGCAGTTTTGTCCTCGCCACACAACCATGAAGGGGAGAAAATGCTGATTTAAGATTTTAAAAAAAAGCTCAATGCTCAGAGACAGTTCTGCTCCTCAGCAGACTGCCCCCCCCTCCTCCCCCAAGTTTGAAACAAACATGATCCAAGCAGRGCTGGACAGAAGGATGATGTCTCCTGCACTTGTTACAGCCTCTGAAGGCTGCACAAACTGACTCAATGTTGCCCCCTACTGTTCAAACATCAAAGTTAAGAGCTAGTTCCCCCCCCCAGAACAATTTTTTAAAATTTGGACGAAAAAAAAATTAGAAACAAATACTGTTTGAAATCATTTTTTTTTTACCCCCACTCTCTTCAGCATTCTTAATTCGCTGGGAGAACAAATACAGAAAACTGCCACATCATATCATCTTTGAATAAACAGAACAAATCAGCTTCACAACAGATGTAGCGTTTGAAAATAAAGACGTGGACACAGAACGTCAGACACGCACTGAAACAGGAGGTGAGGTTTCTTAACACCAGYAGAAAGTGCAAATAAAGATGTGACGGCTGCTCTGACAGATGGTACCCACAGCTGGAGGGAGGCCTATGTGAGGGGCGGGGGGAGAGTCCAGGTTTGAAGTTTTGACCTCTAGCAGACCATTGGGGCAGGGCGAGACGGCAAGGTGCAACAGAGACGAGCYTTGAGAAGTCCAGCCTCAACTTCAGACATTTAAGATCCTCCACAGCAGACACCTGAAGACAGTGTCGAGGTTATAATATAAAAAAAAACTGCAGAGATCAAACTGCAGCTTGGTTGAGTTTTATTTATTTTTCTTTTGAAGTTTTTGTTCCTCTGAGTTGAGGATCCCTGTGTGTGATTTGAACCAACCTATTACTGTAGGGTCAGCAAACCAAAATTACACTCAGAAGTACAGGAAATAAAATAAAAACAACAGTTTGGTTGAACACTGCTTTCACTCTCATTACAGAAGGTCACAGATTATGTGTGTGCAGAAACTAATCCTTCCACAATAGAAGAACTCAAAGAAAAGAAAAAAAAACATTAAGGCTTTGAGAAAATGGCCTGAAGCATTAAAAGGAATGTTCGTTCTTTCAGTCGTGTTAAATATCTTGCAAAAACAAGTCCAACACATTCTTTTACTGTGCCCCAACTCCTAACAACAAAATCATCAAAAACACTAAATCGTAATAAATCAACAAATAAAAGATAACTTACAGATGAAACAAAGAAATTATGCAGCACAAAAATGATCCCAAACCTCTTATACGTGTTTACTATCATCACTAGTATTTCTGGTTGATATGTGCATATTTGGGACATGCAAGCTGTGGATTATGACAGAAACGTTCACACTGCTGATACGATTAGTATTTGGTGTTCATTTTAATGTCCGATTGAGATGATGGCAAAAATTTCGGAGCGTCACTGACATTAACATCTTTTATTTGGTTTATTTCCTAAGCAAATATATATTTTAAATAAWCCTCTTTCCTCAAGATTTTCAATGCAGGTATTTGCTGTTCTCTTTTATATAAATGTTATATTTAGGTATTTAGAATTTTAGGCAGTAAAAATTCAAGTGAAATAAAAACGAGTCGCGTTTGGCTTCGAATCTTGTGATTTTAAAGACATCTTGCCAAGAACACCAAAATTATTCCTCTTAACCAAAAATAGTAACTATTGCACGCACAAAACTGCATATGGATGAAGGTAAATTTGTTTGGTCATTTTGAGTGACCTTTATTTTCTAAACGTCCACCAATGTGGGGTTTGTTCTCCTGTTTTATGGCTTCACACAAATCAAAAGTACTGAGTGGTCCCCGATATTGTACATGTACATTAACAAACTTCAAGTATTCACATTAACACAACCCCACACCAATATATCTGCTGTATGGTAAACATGAGGTACAGTCTGACTGCATARAGCAACGCTACACAAAAACAGCCCCCTCAAAAATGACTGACACCACCTCTGACAGGAACGGACGTTTTGTAATTTTCTCATCAGCGTCTCGACAGGACAACAAAAAAATGCAAACTATCTACAAGCAGAAACAAAAGACAGACGGGGAGAAAGTTGTCCTGTATGATTAATGATCACGCCGTCATGGCGTACAGACCAGCAGAGCTTTTAAAAGACTCCCACAGCTCGAGGATTTGCAGCTCAGAACTCGTGATGAGAAAGCACATTCTATGCTGCTGCATTCAAGTTCCAACAAAAAATACCATTTAAAAATTTTTTTAAAAAATAAAAAGAGAGAGATTGGTAGGGAGGGGTTCGGAATATGTGATCTATTTCTACCACATTCGAAAAATAAAACAACCTCTTCCACCAAATAAAGCTTTGTGAATTGCACTCTTGATGTGACACCAGTCCTGGCCTCCCTCCTCCTTCACGTAGGATATTTACATTCAGTAGTTTTAGTCCAGGATGGAACAAAAATAGAAAAAATAAAAATAAAAAAGACGCAAGTTCTTACAAAGCAGAACTGAAAGAGATTTCATTTAGTGATTGCAGAGACACGCAGACCGTATCTGATGAGCGATTCGGGCAGTCTCTCCAGATATGGATCAGCTGCTAAATTCACCTGGGTTTCTGTCGCACCCTCGCATCTGAAGCAACAGCTGTAGCCTGCCCCCTGCTGTGCAGCCTGTCCTGTTACAGCGGACCCTGCTCCTCTAAGCTGCGATGTTCCTGGTTCTGCTTAACAACACAGGCAAACCCAGACTCCTTTGTTGCCAGGATTTGGCCAGGCTTGGTCYTTGGTCCAAGGAGTCTGGTGTGTGTTTAGTGTTTTTTTATTTATTTTTTGTTTGTTCTTTTGTTTGTTTTTTTTACTCTGGACGGCTCTTAGCGCAGTTTGATCCTGTAGGTGGAGATCTCCATGGGGTCCAAACTGATGGTGGTGTCGTTGGCCAGAGGCTTGCTGGACTGCATCAGAGTCAGAGACATCGGCTGGAGAAGGTGGAGATCCACGTTCTTGAAGAGATTCCATATGCTCAGCTGCAAAAGGAAGAAGTGAACAAAGTTCACGGAGTTTGTACCATATTTAAAAAAAATTAAATAACTAAACATTTCCAAGTAGCACTCTTTCACAGTTAAAATAAAAGAATGCGACCTTGCTTGTATTGTAGTGCACAGAATGCTTCTATTCACAGAATCCCGCCTCTGTGTCTAACTCAATGATAAACTGAGCTCTGAACAAGTAGGTTTAACAAAAAGAAAAATGTGGATTTTCAAATATATATAACTTAATATGGCTGGGCAGCCCYGCTGAGCACTAATATGGTTTCAGAAACCCCAAAACAAACCTTTATTAGATTAGATTTAATATACTCTCTAGAAGGAGTAATAAAGTAACATTGTGCAGACACATTTAGGTACATAAATGCCTCCTAAAGGCACATTTCAACCACTCTGAAATGGCTGTTTTTTTGTGGTAAATCTGTATTTGCTGATAAATACAGTTAAAACAGAGAGAGGGTGACATGTGGCCATGGAAAAATACCCTGAAATGTGCCAGTTATCCCCTACTAAACAAGTCTTTGTTCAGCTAAAAAAGGATGCAACAAAAGCTTCATCAGATCAGCCATCCTTTTTGCACATTTCAGGTTTAGAARTCTGCGTAACTGGAAACTGAAGCTGACCTGTCCCTGTGTGGTGGTGCAGTTAAAGCCAAGGTTCTGAGCCTCGAAGCCACAATCCAATGCCAGACGATGTAAAATCAAGGCTGTGTACTGAGATGGAGACAGGGGGTCTTTCTGCTCACAAAAACAGGAAAAAATTAATAATTAATGAACAGAACAACTAAAAATATGTTCTTTATAATAAAAGGAAAAAAAATCTTACCTGGCTCTGGATGCTGCGCAGATTCATCAGGTGGAAGTCGCAGGGGAGGACGGTCTTGAGCGGGGCGAACGTCTGCAGAGGAGGGACGCCGCGTCTTTTGGGCAGGACGGGCAGGGCCAAGACGTCGTGGTTGAGGAGGGAACTGGTCATGTGACTGGCTATAGATGGGAAGCTAGTTGTCYCGCTGTCCATCTGTGGGAGGGTGCAGATTGATTTAATTGACTGCGTAAATCATTCCAGCATCAATGATTCACCTCTAGAGATGCTTCTGCTACAACATGAGGGACAAGCTATAATTATACTGTGTCAGAGGAAAAGGAACACTTCTTCTAGTCGCGACACACACACACACACACAGTACTAATCACACCCTTGTGATGTCAATTTTCACATTAAGGAGCGTTAAGGTGTTTCTGAATGTGATGTATTGTGACAGGCAAGTGTTACTTCATCCYTAAGACCATCAGCAGGCAGATGATAAAACTGCAACAGTCTCCCATCCTCGGCTCGTGWCAATTCACTTACTTGATGAATCATGTCATTAGTTTCTCTCAACCGTGCGATAAGGATAACAGACTGAACGTCTACACGGACGAGGCAGAAYGATGTATAGAGCAGAGKTTCTTAACCTATGGGCRGCGGCCCACAAMTGGGCCTCGAGCGCCACCTTGAGGGCCTCAAAAGAACAACAGTTTTTAACTTTGGGCCGCGGGACCTCATTGATTTTGAAAAAGGTGCAATACACTTTCTCACCACTAGTAGCAGTAGTGCGCCACTCCGAAGTTTGACAACTTTTTTTAATACGTAGAAGAAGAACCTTAGAAACCTGCCGAGAATGGTAACCTATTTTAAATTAAAAGTAGAAGGCAAAAATGAAAGTAACCCATCAAAAAATGCCAAAGTTTTTCTCTAATATGG